ATGGCTGCTGTGCTTGGTTTATTCTGTTTCGGTTTTTTCTCTAGTTTGTCGGACTGATTGACAATAATGCAGATTTGTAAACACTATTTAAAGTTTTGAATGTTCAGGTTGGGAAGGGAGAATCGCTTCCATTTATATATAAATTAATTTTCTAACTGCAGTGACGCAATTACTTTACCGAATGGCTCTTCTATTTAGAAGGCGGGACTTATTCCGCCATATTGCATTATGCTTTCTCCCATTCATTCGCATGATTATTTGAGTGCACCGTCTTTGTATATCTAAAGTCTTTTGCTACGTCCCAATTCGTCTACTTGTTCTACACCCTAAAAGTGTGAACTCTTTTTGTGAAGAAAAAGTAGATACTTTTGAATGTGAAGCAAAAGAGTACACAAGCTTTGGGACAAACTGTCACCTCATACAATTGCGTCTTTAACGATTGCTCTGTCGCATCCTGTCACAGTAAACTGGCCTGTCAATCATCTTGTCACAGTTATCCTCCACATTTAATTTCACTAGTGCAATGCCCGTGCAAAATCAGTTTTTGTGTGTTTTTACTAGTAATTGTTGGTTTGGTATGTTTGAGTTGCTTAATAGCCTTGGCTACTATTACACAAGAGCCTAAACTCTGAGAAAACGCTAACGTTAAGCGCACCAGAATAAAATATAATATTCAGAATTAATCAGTGTAGCTGACTTACAAATTCAGTTAAGTCGCTACTTTTTCAAAATTGAATCGCTACTTTTTCAAAAGTGAATTGCTACTTTTTCATAGTTCTATACATAGTTTTTAAACTATGTATAGTTACATTGTAATAAACGTATAATTACATTGTAATAAGATCAGATCAACAAACAAATGTATAATAATAATGTTACAAATTTATAATAATAATGTAACGAATGTATAATAACACTAATAAATGTATAATTACATTGTAATAAACGTATAATAACAGTAATGTATAATTACATTGTAATAAACGTATAATTAAATTGTGATGTATAATAACACTGTACTAAATGTATAATTACATTGTAATACACGTACAATTACATTGTAATTAATGTATAATAACAATCTAATGTATAATTACATTGTAAAAAAGTATAATTACATTGTAATAAATGTATAATAACACTAAAACAATGTATAATTACATTGTAATAAACGTATAATTACTTTGGAATAAATGAAAAAAGTAGCTTTTTTCAAAAAGAATCGCAACTTTTTTCAAAAAGAATCGCTACTTTTTCAAAAAGAATCACTACTTTAAAGAATCGCTACTTTTTCAAAAAGAATCACTACTTTAAAGAATCTAAAATAATAATGTAACAAATGTATAATAACACTGTAATAAATGTATAATTACATTGTAATAAACGTACAATTACATTGTAATAAATGAAAAAAGTAGCGATTCTTTTTGAAAAAGTAGTGATTCTTTTTTCAAAAAGAATCGCTACTTTTTTCAAAAGGAATCGCTCCTTTTTAAAAAAGAATCGCTACTTTTTAAAAAAAGAATGATGTAACAAAATGATAATGTCAAGTCAAGTCAAGTCACATTTATTTATATAGCGCTTTTCACAATACAGATTGCATCAAAGCAGCTTCACAGTGATAACATGAAAGTAGTACAACACAGTTCAATAATATTGTTGAATATTAAATATCCCCAACTAAGCAAGCCAAAAGCAAGGCGACAGTGGCAAGGAACCAAAACTCCATCAGATTGGATGGAGAAAAAAACCTTGGGAGAACCCAGGCTAGTCAGGGGCCAGTTCTCCTCTGGCTAACAATCATAGGGTTTTAAAGAAGCTTTACAGTAAGTGCATATCAGAGAGTACCTGGAAAAAATACATTTAGTTAATCATGTAATATTTAGGGGATAACATATCGCCGGCGTTGAGTCGTCTCTTCGCAGGCGTTGAGTCGTCTCTTCACAGGCGTTGGTCTTCTCATCACAGGCGTTGAGGCATCCGAAATCCCCGTGAGAGGCAGGATACCAAACTGGAGCCTACGAACGCCATTTTTCTCGGGACAAGCGTCCCGAGATAACAGCAGAAAGGCAGATGGGAAATAATTAGCATAGCTGATGTTCATAATGATTTCCATTACACGGGAGTAGGTGTTAGAAAACCATAATCTCACAACTCTCCGTAATGTAACAAAATGATTTTTTTAAATAAACGTATAATAACACTAATGTATAATTTCATTGTAATAAACGTATAATTATTGTGTAATAAATGTATAATAACACTGTAATAAACGTACAATTGCATTGCAATAAATATAGCCTATAATTACATTGTAATAAACTTATAATTACATTGTAATGTACAAGACTAACAAATGTATAATTACATTTTTTACACTAATTTAAAAAAGAATCGCTACTTTTTTCAAAAAAGAATAATGTATCAAAATAATAATGTAACAAATGTATAATAACACTGTAATAAATGTATAATTACATTGTATTAAACGTATAATAACACTGTAATAAATGTATAATTACATTGTAATAAATGTATAACACTGTAACAAATGTATAATTACATTGTAATAAACGTATAATTACATTGTAATGAAAAAAGTAGCGATTCTTTTTGAAAAAGTAGCGATTCTTTCAAAAGGAATCGCTACTTTTTCAAAAAGAATGCTACTTTTTATCAAAAAGAATCGATATTTTTTCAAAAAGAATCGCTACTTTTTTACTTCATAAGTAAACAGTGTAGCTGACTTAATGTTTAGCTGACAGAATGTTTATTTTTAAACCACAATTAACTAACGGTTCGAGAGATATTCGATTATCAGACAGACAGACGTTCCTGTAATTTATAGATAGATGTCCTACCGTATCGGAGAGAAATGCAGTAGCACGTTGATCTGCAGTCGTGGGTCTTTCATGAGGTGAACTCTCCTCATATTAATGCATACTAATGTATTTAAAAGTTAATGGCTGAATCTTAATAAAATGGATCTCTATAAAAGTCCACATTGTTATTGCAGATGAGATATAACGGATCCACACTGAAAATCTACCGGAAATATTAGACCATCCGGGGACTTTTGACATACTCTTTTCAACATACCACGCTTATACCACGCTTGGTACATTGGATGCAGAGATTAATATGAATGGTGGAATAAGTCCCGCCTTCTAAATAAAAGAGCCAATCGCTGATCAGTGATGTCATCATTGCGTCACTGCAGCTGCTGTTACCAGAGCCGTTAAAAACATTACATTTTGAGTTGAAAATGTCGTTGTGTAAACGGCTTCTTATTCTTCATAGTGAATCAACGAACAAACTGTTTTCAACTAAAAACGGATTTATGATTATGACTCCCCTCACACTTTCGATGTCTACTTACCTTCAGACTCTTGTTAAAAAAAAAGTGTTATGATATTACGGAGAAGAGACCATGAGGATGTAAATGAGCTGTATAGGACTTTTATTGCATCACACAGGTGAACACTACAGTGGTTTGCATTGTGTACAGACAATACGAGGAACATGGTAACATTGCACAGTAGTAACCAGCGATGCTTTATTTACAGACAGACTTTGTTCTTAAATAACACAGTATTCATTCATAATTACAGAACTGAGAACGAACTGAAGAATATGTCTAAATGAGAACGATCCAGCTTGGGCTCGAATCAGTGTAGCCTTATAATGTGAACTGTAATGTAAAATCTGGCAACATTAAGACATTGATTATTCATATCCATATGATGGACTCATCTGGCTGTTTATAAATGCTTTATCTAAATGGGAACTTCTTGCATGACTAATAGAGAACACATTTAAGCGAATGCTAATGGGCAGAATATAGCATCTGTTGCTGAATTTATACTGAGACTTCCTGAAAGTCTTCCTGTCTGTGAGAGCGTATTGCTGAATCAAATGCCTGTCATAAGGCTTTTGAATTAGTCATGTCACCATAATAATGACATTATCATTATCAAAGTCAGCAGATGGGTTTGCTCGGAGCTCTGGCGCATGCATGATAATATAGTCTGCTGTGTTTTACGCCCAAGCAGCAATATCTGTCTCACGCTTATTAACGCAAAATAATCTCCATTTATGAGGAGATGGATAACTGAGAAGCAAACATGCTCTATGATGTCTTGTAATATTGCGGTTTTGCCTGATTTACATACAGTAGCGAAACAGTAATTCACAATTTTACTCAAACCCATGTTCACTTTTGCCCTCTTTTACATTTCGAAAATCTCATATTTAAGATTTTTCTTTTTTCTTTAAATACTAATGGTCATAGTAGTCAATTAAATAATTCAACAAAACAGACACAAGAACGAAAAATAAGGTTTATGTCAATGTTTGTGTACAATCTTAGTTGACAGAGTACAATAGCTTAAGACTTAAGAGAGCAGGATCAATTCTTACACTGAATCTGTGGTATTTTATATATATTTTTCCAGCGCAATATAGCCAACACATTGTAATCGTTTCAACCAAAGGTCTTGGTGATAAAAATTGGTTGTGCCTTTGCATATTTGACCTTGAGGTCACTATAAGCTCCAGGTTTCATGACCAAACCCACAACGTAATTCTTGAGGATTAAAGAGTCATTCAAAATTGCAGTAACTGGTGGTCATTTTTTGGTCTAATAGCATGATAAAAAGAAAAACATTTCTTTAGGTTTGTTTTCTACGAAGCCCTGCACATGATATCCGGGAAAAAATATGCATATCGTGGTCAAATTAATTAGTTTCCACAATTTACTAAAAAGAGAGAACAAATTCACATGATTCACGTGAAGGAAATTGTGACTTTTTTTTCATAATTGTAAGTTTATAACTTGCAATTCTGACTATATTTCTCACAATTGTGAGATATAAACTCAAAATTGTGAGAAATAAATAATAAGTCCCACACTTCTGACTTAATTTCTCACAGTTGCAATTGTGAATTATAAACTCTGAATTGTGAGATGTGGACAATTCTAAAAATTGTGTGGAAAAAAAAGTCGCAATTACCTTTCTTTTTTTTTTTATTCCGTGTCTTCTAGTTATATTCTAAACTGAGAGTGACTAACAGTTTTGAATTGTGAAGAAAGTGGCCTGTATCTGTTCAGCCAACTTAAAAGAATCAGATTTTGAACACATAGACAAGAGTGGTTCTTTACATCTTAAAATACTTAAAAGTAATATTTAAACAACCTTAATCTCAATGGAATGCAGAGAACTGTCTTAAATCTAATCTAGGGAATTTTTTTAGAATAAATTATTGGTCCTAAAAAACCTTCTTCTTCCCCCATTCTGGTGTTCCTCCATCCCTCTATTCCTTTAGCAGGATGTATGGAGTGCTGCCTTAGTGTGTGATGATCCCCAAAGGTACGGAAAAACACAAAACATAAGACTCATCCTAATATCACTACATTAGACATTTGAGATAGTTATATTATGATGCTGAGCGCGTGTGTGCTTGTGAAGTGTGTCTTTGGATACTGAGTCCTGAGAGCGTCTGAGACCTGTGGCTGTCTGTTATTTGAGGTCCAGTCAAGGAGTGTAACAAGCCGGTTTCCACCAATAAGACGATATTTGCCATATACACAAATTTGAGTCCTACTAGTCACCAAAAGGAACCAAACCTTTAGTGGAGATGTGTATTTGGACAGAGGGGGGCAGTGGACACCACTGTGTATGCATGTGGTGTGAAGAGATATTCAGAAGGCACTGGGGTTTGGTCAGTTTGGTGGAAATCAGACTCTAACAAACCCTCACAAGACCTGACGGACTGTGGTTTAAATCATACAGTGAGGCGCATAGAGAGCCCTCTGCAGATCTCCAGATCTCTACTTGCGCCGGCCGTGATGATGATGATGGTTGTGCATGTCTTCCATGGTGACTCTGCCCCACACGCCGATCACAAACGTCTCAATCTCGCACTCGTTTACACCACGAGCGATGCGGAAGTAGCCGTCCTCGCCCCAGTTCTTCCCCCATGAATTTGCTCCAATCTGTGGTTAAAAATGGGTAAAAGCTGCTGTTGAACTGAAAATAAAACTTCACATCAGCATATCAGATGGATGTCAGTTCTCACCCAGTATTTGTGTGTCCTCCCATTGTAGTCGCTCTCCTCTCCCCATCTGTAAAAAAGTGCAATAAAAATCAATGTGCTATTGGGCATTCACTAAACATTAGTATTCAAATCAACTGTCTAAGAATGGGAATCAATTTTTTGGAGAAAGGGAAGAGAAAGTGCAGATTTATCTGATTTTAAATATATTTTTACCGCAAAACAAGTGAAAAAACTGATTTTAGCAGTTAGGGAATATTTCAACTCTATAAAAATATAATATAATAATATTTGGTAACACTTTACTTGAAGGGGTGTGCATAAGACTAACATGACACCTTCATAATCATGACATGACACATGTTATGAATATGAAGGAAGTTTTATGCATGTTTATGACAACTGTCATTAAGTGTCATTTGCTCAATTATGACATTTTTAATGCAAATATGACATTGTTTGAGATGTCTTTGTTATGACACCTTGACATAAACAAATACATCATAACCTGTCAGTGTCTTTGTCATGACAACTTGACATTACTAAGACAACACAACCTGTTATAAACATGACATAGCAGATTAATTATCAAACTTAAGAAACCACTTAGCTTTATTGGTTAACATTACATTAAACTGTCAGGTGGTTGGTTTTGACATTGGCTGTCGTGAAGCCATTATAACTTTTTAATGACAAATTTAATGTGTACCACTGTAGTTGAGGTCACGAAAAATATTCATGACACAGTTATAATGGCCTTATGACAGCCAATGTCAATACCAACCACATGACAGTTTAACTTAATTTAATGTCAAGTTGTCATGACAAAGACACTGACAGGTTATGATGTTAGGGTTTATGTCAAGATGTCATAACAAAGACATCTTAAACAATGTCATATTTGCATTCAAAATGTCATTATTGAGCGAAAGACACTTAATGACAGTTGTCATAAACATGCATAAACCCTACTTCATATTCATGACATAAGTCATGTCATGGTTATGAAGGTGTCCTGTCAGTCTTATGCACACCCCTTCAAGTAAAGTGTTACCTATAAATCTAACAATATATATAGTGAAGTTATGTTAATTTAAGGATGCTTTTACTGGAAAACAAGGTGAGAATATTTTAGCAGCGAGGAATAATCACATCTGAGAGCTTTCAACTTGAAACAAAAAACATAAAAAAATTACAAAATTCTTCGAAAACCAAAATACATCCAGCACACGGTGCTGTGGACATGTTCTCCTGATGAGGTGAATTGTGTCCACTTCACAGAGGAAGGACGTGAGCATCAGGAAGCAGCACACACACACACACACACACCCTTACATCTCCTCAAGTCAACAACAACCCGATGGGCTGAACCTTCACCATGCCAAGAACTTCCTCTTGCTTCTCCGCTGACCCTTCAGGATCCTTTCATCTGAGTTGAGAATATTCAGCTCATGCATCAAGGGGCCTTTATTTGTACATGTGGGAAGTCTGGAATAAATAGTTTAGTCCTCATCTATTCTAAGGGAAGTTTTCCATCAGACCCGGGAACATATCATTCTGTTCCAAAATAATTCTTATCTGCCTTCCATGCCCACAGAGGGGAATCGGCATTCAGTACACTCAGACAACAAACAAAATCACCTAAAAAAGCAAAGTGCCCTCATACAACAGACATGGGAGAGTTGAAGGGCCAGAACCAATGACTGTGTTTGATGCAGCTCGGACCTCTATACGCTCTTATGTCACCATGTGTTCTGTCCTTGGCTTTGGACAATAACAGACATACCACTGCTTCTGACCTGTGCTGGGTTTAGGCCTCTCTGTCTGCATTGAACAATGCCATTTCCATTACACTGGACATCAATGAGCTTTCCACAAACTTTCCCAGGCCCCGGGCTTAGCCGAACGCACCACGGTGGGATTTCCCCGTAAAAACACTGCCGCCGTCCCCCGTATGTTAACTCCGCAGGCCTATACAGCGTCCTCTGAACGTCTAGAGCAGCGCGAGAAGCGCAGCGTCAGCGAGTGACAGGAGGCCGGGAGAAAAGCCGGGGTTCAGACAGACTCGCCGTCAGCAGTGAAGCGTGTCACACTCACAGACACCAGCGGCAGGTCAGACCAGGTTACCAGAGACGTACCTGGAGAACATGACCTGACCCTCGGGAACTGCACTATCAGTCTGGTGGGAAAGACCAAGAGCACATTCATGCACATCAAGAGGCACATTTGTCGGAGAAATGCTTCTTTTCTGAAGACTGCATTTAAATCAAATCAATACAAAATAAATGATTATTATTATTCGCCCTCATGACAAACTTGTCATGACAAAGTAAAATGAATGTTACTCTGATGTGAATGTTGAATGAACATGTTCTTCAACCAGTTGCATCCTTCAAGAGTAAATGATTGGTAATGGTAATTGACGAGAAAGCTGTTTTCGTGGACTCTGTTGAGGAGAGGCTAGTTGAGAATCACTGCGCAGTGCTATTAGGGTGTGTTACGTAGGAATGTGCAAAACCAGACAAAGGTTTGAGGTGCGAGTGTCTGGCGGTGGGACTGGAATAGGCCAGTTATCCAGGTGTTTTGTCTGCTAGCAACAAAGAAAAACATGTCTGAAAGGCCTTGATGTCTCTCTAAAATAGTTTGTCTCAAATATTTTCAAAGTCCCTTCAAGGCAAGTCAGTTCAGGGCCATGATGGTGAAGAATGTGGAAAGTAGATAGTATTAAACAATATGCCAATGGGGTTAGAAACAAATATATTGTCACGGTGTGGGTTTGGGATTTTATTCCTTCTTGTTGTCTGTCATGTGTTGCCCTGTCTTTTCATGTTCAGCTGTTCCCCGTTAGGTTTATTAGTCTCCCCAGGTGTCTCTTATTAACCACGCCTCCCTTGTTATCTTGTTTAGCTTGTTTGTCTGTGTATTTAAACCCCTGTGTTCCAGTTGTTTGCTGTCGGTTGTTGTTTAATGTTGCTTGTAGTCCGAGTTCTGAGTTTACCCTGGATTACCTGCTTGTTGGTTTATTAAAGTGCTTGCATTTGGATTCACTCTCTGCTTCATTCCTGCCTACATCGTAACATATACACTACCGTTCAAAAGTTTGGGGTCAGTGAGAATTTTATTTTTATTTTTTGGAGGAAAGAAATCAATACTTAATTTGATCGAAAGTGACAGTAAAGACATTTATAATGTTACAAAAGATTCTATTTCAAACAAATGCTGTTCTTTTGAACTTCCTATTCATCAAATAATCCTAAAAAAAAAAAAAAAAACTGTACAACTGACAGACCAACAACTGTTTCAACATTGATAATAATAATAAATGTTTCTTGAGCATCAAATCCTCATATTATACTGATTTGTGAAGGATCATTTGACACTGAAGACACTGACACTGGTGATGCTGAAAATTCAGCTTTGATCACAGGAATAAATTACACTTTACTATATATTCACACAGAAAACAGCTGATTTACACTGGAATAATATTTAATACTATAACTGATTTTTGTTGTATTTTTAATCAAATAAGCGCAGCCATGGTTAGCAGAAGAGAATTCTTTTAAAAGTATTTAAAATCGTACCGACCCCAAACTTTTGAACGGTAGTGTATATATATGCTATTTATTTTTCTTACCCCATTGTTTTATCTCTTTTAGCATAAATCAGATGAAGAAAAATGAGTTGAATTCAAGATACATTTAAAAAAAAAAAAAGTCTTAATATTTTACTTTTTTAGCTTCTTATGTAAATTTAACTTAATTTAAGGATGTTATACTGGAATATTTACTCCTGAGAACTTTCAACTCGCACCCAAAAAGAAATCACGGTAAAAATCTGCTCAGTGTATAATGTATAAATATATAAATATGTGTCTTTAGCTGCAATCATGCTAAAAATAGTATTAATTGTTAAATTGTTTCTTAATTTTTTTCCCATGAAGCAACTGAAAGCAGTATCAGAAAATAATAACCGCTAAAAAAACATTTTTTTTTTATACGCTGCCAAAAATGAATTCCTCTTGCTTCCATTAGATATGAAAAGTTACACAATGCAGGGACTTACCCTGTTATCCTGACAGAGTGTGTTGCATGTTTGCGGTACTGTGACGGTCTGTGATAATTGACATCTGTATGTCTGTAAATTCCACTCTTGTACACAAAGAAATCCTCGTGGACCTCCATGATGGCTAGAAAGGGGGAAAACAAACATAACACAAACCCATTATGCACAGTTTTTATTCATACAAGGCAAATTACAGTAGTACAGACCTTCATACGTCATTGAATCAATATTTAAAAGCTGATCCTTCATTCTTATCACTCACTGTCAGGAAACACTATGGTTCCTTTCAAAAGCCCAATTATGTAATATTCCACATGCTCACCCAAACATCTTGTTCCCTAGCAGATAAAAGTGAGATCAAAGTTGCTCCTGCTAATTGTATAGGAGTTCAAAAGAGCTCAACTTCATATGGCATAAAGGACAATTGCTTAAACTCAGAGGGCCTGGGACAAAACTTGTATGGGTGGGTACCTGCCGCAACCCTCTCGAGGACGACCCTGGTGGCGTGAGAAGTAAAACCAGTAAAGCTCAATGTTCTGGAAGACACTGCATTATGGGAACTACCTGCACCTCCTTACACTTTGGGTTTTTCCAGACATTACTAGGAGATCCTCAGCAGTAAACAGAGCCTAATGATCACACACACACACACTCCTGCACATGAAGATCTTTTCATCTCCTGTTTCTCAATATAAGCCAGAGGTTAGGCAGAATTTTTACCAAGATTAGAAGCGAAATCTGGCGTAAATCCAGGGTTCCCTCCTGTCTGGAACAATACAACAGAACACTGGCACGGGATCATGGAACAGCTCTAACTACACAAGAACACACACACACACCCTTGTCATATTACCCTAGGGGACTTTTCTAAGAATTCACTGCATATATGATGAGTTTAGGCCTTTTGTCCGAACTAAGCGCTCTCTGGGCGTCTACAACATCCATGGTGACTAATACGACATAGATTGATCGTTCGTTGCTGACTGCTTTAACAGTTATTAGGCATGAGCTTTTTACTATTCTTATCCTCTGGCTCACAGTATTGGACAAGCACACACACAGACACACACTTCTGGAGAAATCCATACCTTGCACGGGGCCATTATCCATAATCTCTTTCATAATCTCATTCTCCTGTGAGTGAAAAAGCAGAATCAACATGTCAAGTGAGTTCAGTTAGTGAGAATAATGCTGCATACTGTATAAACTGACAGTGAATAATGTTTTAAATATGAGCAGTATTAAGATGCTTGGGTAAAACATCTTAATGCACATAATAAACAGTCATCCTTTCACATATTATTACGATGAATTGTTTAACTGTTCACCACATTCCTTTGTCACATCTGTGAAAGATATACAATCCAAAACACGCCTGGAGACATGTATATATAATGAAAACTATGCATAAAGAGAGACAAATGTGTGGTAAGATATAGCTCAGGGAGAGAACACTCTCAACCATGACATGACTGCTAATGTAATGCCTCTCCAGACAGTTGTGAATTATTCTTCCCTTTGGCTTTGACACAGATACTGGGTGCGAGTGAAAAACCAGTAAATCACGGATGCTTTAACCATTGGTATTATGCAGGCAGACGTCTGTGTGTTTAATTGAGAGTGTAATGTCAGAACATGTTAGATGTCATAAAACTTGTTTTCCTTGTTTTAAAGAGGACCTATTATGCTTTTTTACATAGTCAACTTTCTTTAGAGTGTGATGTTGCAGTTTGAGCATGAAAAAGCTCTGCAAAGTCACTCAAAGGCAGTTATTCTCTATATCAGTGTCACTGTTTCTAAACTCCCTGAAAGTTTGTAGTCTTGAGTTTTCTTCCGGGAACAAACACGTCACAATATTCCTCATTTAAATAATTCCCGTCCATATGCAGAATAAAGCGGCGGGGACTGGTTGATTTAGTTAGTAGTGCACTGTAAAAAGTGATTGTGATTTTAACGGTAAAAGACTGTAAAAATGCTACAGTGAAAAACTGTTAATTGGTTAACAGAAAGTTTCCTTACTATATGCGGTAAATAACTGTGATAGATCTAACAGTACATTTAATGTAATTTTACTGTAAACTACCGTTAAATTTACAGTTTTTGAAAGTGAAAAAGAACAACTCATTGTATAATTTAAATTTTACAGTGAAAAACCGTAAATTGAATGAAATACGGTTTATTACTGTAAATTTTAAGTTAAGTCTGTAAAACCAATAACGTTTGTACCATATTTTTGACGGTAAAGTTCTGGCAACCACAGCTGCCGGTATTTTACCGTAAAAATGGCATTTTATTTTTTACAGTGTGTGTTGAAATTCGTGGTTAAGGTAAGGAACGGGACATTTCCCAAACACGCTCGAAGGGGTTGACCAATCACAACACACTAATCCAGCTGACCAATCAGAGCACATTGTGCTTTTCAGAAGGAGGGGCTTCATAGAGACAGGAACTAAATAGAGCGTTACTGACGGACTGGGAAAAGAGGAGCTGCAACAATGAAAATATGAGCAAAACAATGTGTTTTGAACATTCAAACATGGAAGCCTATTCTAGTAGACCCTAACAACAAAATCAACTTTGTAAAAGGGCATAATAGGTCCTCTTTAAAATAAAAATGATTACAGTATTATGTAAGATAATAAGACTATTGTCATTTCTGCAGTGTAGTGTCTTGATTCCAGGGGTCAGGTGACTTACATTGGAGGACAGTCTGTATGGAGGGGTCGACTGATAGACATCATTGTGGTAGGTGTGGCTGTTGGGACAGTGCGCTGTGGCCTGCCTCTTCCCCCGGCCCACCGCTCGAGTTTGCATCATACAGCGAGCCACTTCATCGGGGGTTTGCTGGGCCGCAGAGAAGGGGTAACACTCCTCAGTCACTACCCTGACAGAAACACACACACAGATACTTAATGGGTTTCATAAAGATTGCCTGGCATCAAATAATATGAATAGTTTTTTTTAGAGCAATTCAAGTTAGTAATAAGTTTGTGAAATGAAAATATAACATTCAATATACTGCCACTTTTTGTAATAATGAAATGTTTAATTCTTCATTTAGGGGCTTTTGTCAGCCAATATTGATATATGCAATTTTCTGACTTATTCATCAGCATTAAGCTGATTACAATACAGTAATAGTCTTATTTCTTATATACTATAGTCTTATGTTCACCAAGGCTATATTTATTTGATAACAAATAAACATAATTAATTCCTGTGATCAAAGCTGAATTTTCAGCATCATTACTCCAGTCTTCAGTGTCACATGATCCTTCAGAAATCATTCTAATATGATGATTTGCTGCTCAACAAATATTTCTTATAATTATCGCTGTTGAAAACACCAGAATATGTCAAAGTTAAAGTATTATTTGTCAAATGCACACCATTTGATTTGTAAGATGAACTGCTTAGGTTGGATGTAGTGTGTAAAACATGCAGTGAATTACCCTCTTCTCCTCAGGTACCACCAGGCCCCGTCGATACGCCCCCCGGCGCACCCGTCCTGATGACGCTTGTCACAGGAGATCAGATTCTGAGGCGAGAGCTGAGGGGTCATGTGACCCATTGACTGAATCGAGATCCGGTCTGATGCAACAGCTAGGAGTGAATCACATATGAGTGACAGGACAGATGAACTGCATTAGAGGTTTATATAACATACACACAACACTGGACTCTGCAGTGTTCTTCTGCTGTGGTCTGTGTGTCATGATTTCTCTGACTCACCTGCAGTTGAGAAAGCCCAGGATGCATTGCAGTTTCCCTGGTCCAATGGCTCATGGATTTTCCCTGGCCATTTTGTCACTGCATTGAAGTTACTTGGCAGATGATCGTTTCCATTCATATTCATCTGCAGAACATAAAGCAAGATTGAATGTTTTTTTTTTCCCTTCACATAAAGTAATGGTACAATTTGGCACAGAATAACACAGAATAAAGATTTCCATAAATTCATCCATGGTGTGATTATGAGTGATTTTGGTGGCATAATATAATTATTTCCATATGTGTTCTCTTTCACAAGGCCAGTGGATGGATGAGGCTGTCTGAGTCTCCAAAGTCCAAGGTTTACAGGAGCAAAATACTACTGAGCCTTTGTGTGGTTATATAACGATGATTTGTTAATTTTGTGGGTTTTTGGAATTATCCCAATGGAAATTCTAGGAAATAACTTTCTTCTCTGTTCCATCAATAATAAAAAAGTCAAAGTAAACATCCCGGTAATATCCTTTATCATTACAAAGGCTCACTTTATACCCGGTTTTAATATCTGTCTCAGGTGATTCGATAACAAGTGGTCAGCGGACACACATTACCATTTCCATAAGGTATTTACATTTATTTACACACAATTAACATTGTGAAATATTATTAAAATTTTAAATTACTGTTTTCCATTTTAAAATATTACATTTTTTTTTTATTTAATCCTGATATCAAAGGTGAATTTTCAGCATCATTACTCCAGTCTTAAGTGTCACATGATCCTTCAGAAATCATGCGGATACGGTGATTTGCTGCTCAAGAAACATTTCTGATTGTTATCAATGTCATATTTTTTTGTGGAAACTGTAATAATTTTTTTTTCCAGGATTCTTTGATGAATAGAAAGTTCCTTTATTTGAAAAAATAAATCTTTTGTGACATTATAAAAGTCTTTACTGTCACTTTTGGTCAATTTAATGCATGCTTGCTGAATATCAAGCGTAGCATCAGTTCTGGCAGGTCAGGTTAGTCAACGCATCAGCTGATCCATATCTACCTATCGCCTATCACTGTATACATATATAAGCTCCTTCAGGATTATTAGCGTTTCTCAGGAGCCGCTTCCCTCCTCCCTCCCCAGCTCCTCCTCTCCTCAGTCAGGATTTGGCATTGATTCCCCCTGAATCAGACTAAAATCCTCTAATTATGTTGTACAAAAAATGATATCAGCAATACATTCATGTTGATTCTGTTCTGTTTACCATACCGCCAATCCTAACTGTATGCTAACTGTCAATCGTATTTGACGATAGTGGTCCTAGGTATTTATAAAATCGTACTGACCCCAAACTTTTGAACGGTAAATACCACTTATGACCACTTATGATCATACTTCATCGAAGGGAGGGTCTCTGAATTTATGACTTTATGCATTTATTACATCTAGTCAGTGTATTGATGTAGATCAAGTACAAATAAAAAGCTGAGAAAAGTCACTGTTCCTCCCAAATGTATTGGACCCTGTTTACACCTGTGATTAGCCATCCACTTATGACCGAACTGACCAAAACTGATGTTAATACCAGGAGGGAACATATAACCCTAAACTTAACTTTACCTCTGTAATGCAGAGACATATTCATGCTTGTCTTACATCTCCCAAATCTATAAGACCCCAGAATTCTTGTGTCATAGTTTGCATCCCAAGGATTATGAATGTCCTGGATGAGGAATGCATTAGCACTTGTGTGCCTCTCCCTCTTTGGTAAGGCACAGCAGCTTGTTGCCGTCCTCCTACATTCCAGCCTGTGATATCGTCATGATTCTCCCTGACAACTAGCAGATATGATCCCTGGAATGCAGATGCTTGTCAAGTGACCGCCTCTGCAGTGGTGAATTGTGGTGGTTAAAGGGCCCCTGAAGGGCCACGTCTCGCAGCAACACTTGACCCGATGGGGAACGTGAGCAATCCCACCGAGCAAAGACAATACACCAATGAGAAAGTAAAGTGTGTGCGGCACTCAGCCCACTCATTAGTGTGCGTGCCGAGTGGGTTTTAGGCAGATAGAGGCTTCATAAATGGCCCAGGCTCGACAGGTGGAGACGTGTTGGAGAATGTGGGATGGAGAGTAAAGAGAAAAGGGGAAGTGGAGGAAGATATGGGTATGGCTCCTATTTGGTGAGGGTCTTGAATAAAGTGAAAAAAGTGTTTTTAACCAGCCGCTCTTCTGAAAACGCCTAGCTGTGGACGCTTGAGAGGGCTATAGTTGTAGAGGACGCTTTCGTTGATATCATAAGGAATATCCGCTGAAGAGTTACTAGTGTCTGATTTCGTATATAGTTTGCTTTTGAATATATAAATATCTACACAATGTAGAGTTGCTCTGGCCCTTGTTTTGGATGATTATCGTAAATACGAGTTTCCTAGGTAAAAATTGGACATGAACGCCCTCTCAAGTCGTACTAACCACTGGGATAATCTTGATACCTAAGCTCCCGAATTAAGCGGTGTGACGGGTGCATAGCCCACCTCACATATTTGGCCTCTACCATGGTTTACATTGGTCATTTTGAAGTTTAATTTATGGCTTTAACATGGCTTTACGGTTAGGGTTATGTCGCCACCTGTTGGTTTGGCATGCTCTTGACTGCGCTTCCTAGCGTGTTTTTGCGTTTTCATGTGGACGGACATTTTTTTAAACTTGCTTGTGTGGACGAGATTTTTATTTATTTTTTCAACGAAGGAGGAAAAACTCTGTTTATAAGAATACCCGTGTACGTGTGGACTGGGCGTCAGTCAGAGTTGTCCAGCCACAGTAAAAAGGTCACAGTGGCCTGTTTAATTTTTGTTGGTTTCAGTTAACTTCCATCTTAAGTCTTTGATCTTTGTATGGACTTTGTTTGGAAATGATCTTTGTTACATCTGCCCCTGTATATTATTTAATTTTTTTGTTCTTTTGTTGGAACAAAATAAACCTTCTTTTCATCTGTCCACTACCTGTCCTGCCTGTTCTTGGTCACGACCGCCACAAGCGAGCTATAAACTTTAAACATGGCGGAGGGGAGAACGACTGCTACTGTGTGTGACTGGTATTCTTTACATCGTCTTGTCACAAAATTGTTAAAGTAGTGCATATTTACATATAAATGATTTTTTTAATGGAAATAGCCTGTATTTGACAGAAATTCCAGAATTCTAGATATTGAATCTAGATATTACAGTGAATGTTTATATGGTTGTCAATGAATGGGACTCTAAATATCATTTTGGCTTTAATAAAAATTTCCACGAAAAATAGGCAAGAATAAAAACGGTGTCCTCCAGTATTCCCGTTCTTTCAGACAACAAAGCACCGAGCAACGAGCTCGTAATCACAACTTCAGAAGTGGGAAGTACACTTCCGATAGCACGTAACGGGAGCATTAATACGCAGAGAGAAACTGAAAGCCTCAGTGAGCCACATCAAATTCACAGACATCCACTGTACCAAACTACACTGACACCCGCTGATGCACAGTAAAGATCAAACAACAGTCTGATTTCTGAATCCTTCTCTTATTCTTGCTTTGCTGATTCCTAACAGCACACTGCATTACACAGAAGACCGTTACACAGAGCGTGAGAGCGATAATCAGAGAGCCGTCGATGGGCATAAGCAGAAGAATAAAGAGATTATCTACATACTTGATTATGGCTGGTCAGTCGTGGCATTCTGGGCTAGCTTCATTTCTCATTCAACGCAAATTAATGTTCTATGTTCATTTATTTAGTAAGTAGCCATGAAATAAATAGATATTTAACATAGCAAATCAAATACTTTATCAGCATTTTTATCTAAACATTTTTTTTGGTCTAAAATAATAAGAGAACACATTTTGAAATTTAATTTTGTTATCTGGCCAAAAAAAAAATGTAAGCACATACTACTGTTCAAAAGTTTGGGGTCAGTAAAAAAAATTCTTTGAAAGAAATATATATATATACAAATATATTAAACTGCTAAACTGTTTTCAACATTGATAATAATAAGCAATGTTTCTTGAACAGAGCATATTAGAATGATTTCTGAAGGATCATGTGACACTGAAGACTGGAGTAATGATGCTGAAAATTCAGCTTTGATCACATGAAAAATGTTACAATGTAGTAAAATAGAAAACAGTAATAATATTTCCCAATATTACAGTTTTTACTGTATTTTTGATTAAATAAATGCAGGCATGGTGAGAAAGAAGCTTCTTTTAAAAAAAAATCTTACTGACCCAAACTTTTGATTGTGTAAATCTCACAAAATTTCTGTATATTTGTGTGTAAAACAACAATAACAAAAACCTAATTCAAGAAATAGTCTCAGAAATCAAGCAAATGCATCTTGTTTTAAGAATGTGGAGTTATTTTTAGGGGAAAATAAGAGCAAGTGAACTCTTTCAGGATAACACATGACGTTCCTGCTTTGCATCTGACCGCCTGACTACACATTAACCCTTTCCCTAACGGTCTCTTTCACACTAATAGAAGATGTCTTGATACTGATGACTCTCACCTGCATCTCATTCATGTTCATAATGGTCCGTGAGGGGCGTTGTGTGCCCAGACGATACCGCAGACCCTCGTCCAGGGTCATTCCCCAGAACTGACTGTAGTTTGCTGCCCTCCAACTGGAGAGATAAAAGATAGAGAGTGAGTAGGAGAGAGGAAAATGTGTGCACTAGTTATGTAATAACACACTAGATGGGATCCAGTGATGCTCACCCGTAACTTCTCCTGTTGATTTCTTGGATCATGTCATCCTCTATCAGACAGGAGTGATCCTCACATTCCCAGCGCCCATTTTGACCACATGTACTGTGGGAGACAAATAAAAACTGTTAGTGAACAGATCTGTAAACTTTCCATACAAATAGGGTACATAAAAAGCTTTTTTTTCCCAAACAGTCGGTGACAGGATGATCTTCATAAAATGTTTCTTGTCAATCTCAGAATGAAAGAGTAAATATTATATCATTTTCTATTCATTTGATAAGAGGATTACCATTTTAAGGGTCAGATTTATTAAACAGGGCAAATTAGCGTGAGACAGCAATCATATAAAAGCATGCGCTGGGAGAGGCTGATCTACTGCAAATTCAAGAACAGCTCATTTCTATAATGACCAACACAATTCACCAAGAGAAGCACAACTATTGAAGCACTTCAAGCGCAAATTTGGTAAGACGTGCTTTTTAAAGGCATTAAATAACGGCGCAGGTACCAGTAAATGAACTTCCACAAACAATGTTGCGTGATTGATTTAAATACTCTCCTCCTGTACATTTTCTGAAAGGGAAACTCCTATAAGCATATTCAATAAGGTCAAACTCTCCACGGCTTTTCAGACTCATTTTTCACTGCATGTCTTTAGTAAATCCTGACAGTAGTTTAACACCACAGAGGGTTTGTGCTGGAGCAAGTAAATCTGGCCCTTAACTTTTAAATATTACTTTTAAAATCCTTTATTTAACAATTAAACTCTTACAACGTCATCATTTTGACATTATCTATCGAATAGTCAAGAAGGTTAAGATGTCTTTGGAGGTCACATTTTTAAGTGTGGGATACAAACATGTTATGTGTTCCCTCATCCTTCCCTTGTTTATGTGGGTGTAATAAAAAAAAGTAACAAATCCTTTCCCTCGTGGGTCAATTTGACCCCCTTAGGAATGAATGGAATGCGAGGAATGCTTCAGTATACATAGAAAAACCTAAAAAATACTTAAAAATAAAACGGGACTTTACCAAAAAAGGGTTTTATAATATCTACATGCATATCTGAGTGCATACTGATGAGATAAACTCAAGAACTGACTTTAGGACCCAGTGGAACAGCTCATTTGCTCCATATAGAGCTATAGAGTTATTTTGAATTTAAGTTAAAAGAATGTGAAGAATGTGCTTAAATTATATAATTTATTGATAAAATCTAGTAATTTAAAGGTACAATTTTTTTTTTTTTTTTTTATATCATCAACATAAAATTATATATATATATAAGCTTTCTGGAGAAAAAGTAAATAAATAAATACATTTTAGGAAGGATTTGTTACAGGATGCAAACTGTTTAAAACATGATTAATTTTATGACAAGTCATGGGACCGTATTTGTGGAAAGTGACAGTCCCTGACTTTAAAACCCCTCATTGTTCCTTCCACTGACAGTGGCATTTGTAAGGACTGAAGTAACGTGTAGATTAACTTTTAGAATAATAAACAACATGGTGTGTTTATATAAGTGTTTTAAAACAGAGAAGGGAAATGTAGACAGACGTCAGACCAAACCATTGAGAGAAACAATGAAGTTGTTCAGACATATTCTACATTTGAGACACAAAACAAGAGGAATGAAATGAGCGAGAGAGCCTGTGAGCCTTTTAAGGCTGCAGCTCCTGAAGAAATATCCATTTTTAGTCAGTCTGAGTGAGGAGAGGAGGTTCAATAGGCTTGACGTATGAGAGGACCATGGATTAAAAGAGGAAGAGCAGAGCTGCTGCTGAGGCTTTACTAGAGAGTCACGAGGAGGAGAGTAGAATTAAAGTGCCCCTATTATGCCTTTTTCAGATATTTCCTTTCATGTAGTGTGTGATATAGCTGTTTGGGAATGTAAAAGGTCTGCAAAGTTGCAAAGATCAACAAATTTGCATAATGCCAGCCTATGGTCTTCATTGGCTGCTCGCAAACAACGTCTAATTTGCCCCGCCCTCAAACACTGTAGTTGTAGCGTGTTGTCGACATGTCAAGATGACGCATCCACTACCAAAGGTTGAAGACTCCAGCTCGAATTGATACGGTAAAACCGATGCCATCTTTACAGTTCGTATCACTGTGTGTATCAAGTGCTGAGGAAGAGCTGAAATTTGCGCTGTAAGCGATCGACCAATCACAACAGACTGGGCCATCTGACCAATCAGAGCAGAGCAGGCTTTCGAAAAGCCGAGTTTAGAGAGCATGAATCCTTTATCGAAAAGTTTCAGACACTGTGAGAAAAGAGCTGACGCTGCAATGTATATTATGAGAAAATGAAAGTGTTTTTTGACCTTGGATGCATGTAAACCTATTGTAGGAGAAAATTAGAAGCCTTTAAAAAAGCTTTATTTTATTTTATTTGAGCATCTGTCCAAATATGCACATGAATAAAGCCTCAAATCGTGTGTGTGGCATGCAAAGGTTTGCTATTATTTTGCCTTGCAGACAATAAAATATTGGGAAAAAATATTCCCTCAAACATATCGAACACCCTAGCAATGTAGTTATGAGTTTCACAATCTCATTCTTCCTCAGTAAAATTCTAGTTGCACATAGCAGATTCTTTTTCTTCTTTCTGTCAGGTGACACAAACTGAAAGTCCTTGCGCTAAAGCTTCACGCAGTACTTCAGATTGAGACATAAATTCACACACCAGCACACACATGTTGGTTGAAAGTTACAAAAGGTCTTCAGAGTGCAAAAGTGTCAAGTGACCTGTTGTCATCAGGAAGCCGAGTTTCCCATTCTGTCACGCTTCACTGTAATGCTCAAATCAGCATCCTGATACAAGCCTGGCGGTCTCTGACATGCCCTCCGGTGCACAGCAAACATATTTATGTGCTTTCTCTGTGTTTACATTTCATAATCTCTAAAAGATGACAGCAGGTTGACTGTATGGGTTCCAGCAGGTGGCTCATATAGATACTCTTTATAGATAAAGAGATTTAGATTGATAAAACTGTCTGCAAAAAAATAAATGTAGGCTACAAATACATCCAGTAAAAATATGTAAATCCTTAAAGCAAAATAACTTAAAGGGGTAGTTCACCCAAAAATGAAAATTCTGTCATTAGTTACTTCATCTTCAGAACACAAATGAAGATCTTTTTGATGAAATCTGAGAGATTTCTGTTCCTCCATTGACAGCTACGCAACTACCACTTTGACGCTTCTAAAAGCTCATAAAGAGATCGTAAAACTAAATGAATTTTCTGAAGAGATTTATTGATCACATTTAAACATTGATCAGCGAATATAAACAGAAGCTCAACCGAACCTGCTTGACACTGAAGGGTTGGTCAAAATCCCTTGCCTCTTCAAATACATATATAATCATATATCATTTTGAATGGTTATATACTTCCTTTATAAAAATCAATAATCAAATATATTCATTATCACATAATAATTTTTATATTCTTGTGCTTGTGAAATTATATTTTCTTAAATGCATGGATGCAAGTAACCAGTTTCTTTTAGGTGCATTCCAATCTTACTTTGAGATTGCACTTAGTACACGCAGGACACGAAGGCCACGGAACCCACAAGGCCGTTTGTCTCTTTCTCTGGGATCAGTAGAAAGGTTAGAGGGTCCTAAAGGCAGCGTGGGCACATATGATTCTTCGCTGGACATATGGTCAAGCTATATTGAGCGTTACTATCAAACTTTAATTGTTGTATTAAAATGTATTCTTTCCAGTATATTTCCTTCCTTGGGAGTAAATACCAGTGATCTGGTATTCTTTTCTCCCAAACGAGTGAATGTTTTAGCAGTATGTTTTGGTATACTTAACTGATAATAAGGAGCTCAGACTCTCTTCAGCCTTGATGGGAGCTGTTATTTGCTAGTGTCTGTTATTTGTGTGTGTGTGTGTATGACATTCTATGTAGGTTCTGGACGGTCGGACCAGACACCCCGGCGCCCTTCTCTAACCTGCGAGGCCACCACAGGCCTAAATCCAATGAGTGGACGACAACTATCTTTACTAATGGCGATAGGCACCCCTATCTCCTCACATGTGTTAAATTGTTTAGGCTTTAATGTTTCTTAGCCAATGAGAATCATTCAACCTGTAAGCAATGACGTAGCTTAGACCTTGGAAATGGTATAACTGCTGTGATCTTTGTAACTGTAAGCGAGGCGGCCTACGAACTCCTGTGTGAGTCTTGAAGCTGACTTCTGCTGATGAAAATGCAAACTATCTTCAGTAAAACTTTTCTTTAATTTTTTATAATTCTGACTCCGGGTCTTCATTCTTCATATCTGGTTCTGGGTCTTTGACTGTATACCCCTTACAACACGAGAGAACAAACCTCATTGGTTCTTGCAGAAGCTCAAACGTGATGCGCAACACAAGAACAAACCTCATTGGTTCTTGCAGAAGCTCAAACGTGATGCGTAACACAAGAACAAACCTCATTGGTTCTTGCAGAAGCTCAAACGTGATGCGTAACACGAGAATGAACCTCATTGGTTCTCACACGTCAAGTGAACATGCTTGAGCTTCAGTTTATCACAACTGATGTGTGAGTTGATCAGATTAAATGTGAATAAAAGCCTAAATTCAAACTTAAGAATCATATAAAGCGATCGTGTCTCTTCAATTTGGACTAAACCGCTCAATTCATATGGATTTTAAGCGTCAAAGTTAGTTGCGTTGATGTCAATGGAGGGACAGAAAGCTCTCAGATTTCATCAAAATGATCTTTATTTGTGTTCCAAAGATGAACAAAAGTCTTACGGGTTTGGAACGACATGAGGGTGAATAATTAATGACAGAATTTTCATTTTTGGGTGAACTAACCCTCTATCATAGCATATACATTTCTAAAATAAATCTACAAAAGAATTGTGAGGTTGCGAGCTGGTTACCTTTGGCTTTGGATTACTGACAAATTATAAATATTTCACGTTCCTCTCATAACTCTACAGTAGTAACTACAAAGATTGCAATGCGTATGGCTGTAACATTAACACTGATAGTGCCAAGAGACTAATGGGACATTACATCCAGGTGTTTGTGAGCGAGAGAGAGCGAGAGAGATGTGGTTATGCTGCGACACCATCACTGACTGAAGGACAGATCCTACAGGAGCCGCTGGGTCTGCGGCCGATACATGCTAAACCTACGGCACAGTCCAGTGAGGCTTGAACTCAGGAAATCTCAGGATTACAGAGGTGAATGTGAACCAGAGGGAACAACACTGGGACAGCAGCCAGTGTTTCATCCATCTCTGCCACCACAGGAAGCAGGAGAACGTGAAAAAGATCCTGATAAAATAAGAACTGAATAGAGGCGAGATAACGTGGCAATGCTAAGAGGTCTGTGGTCGGTGTGAAAGCACCGTCACGCCAAACTACCAGATAAAATCAACAACAGACTGAGTCAGACATACAAACAAACACACATCTACAAGCAGAACGGAAAACATGAGCATTCTGGAGTACTTTTTTACAGGCTGAGGCTGTGAAAAAATCCTCACATTAAAATTCCTTCATGCCAAAAAAAAAAAAGGAAAAAAAAAGGATTTGTTTGTCTTGTTGCCCAAAAAACCTATTAAAACATCAAGGTACAATTATTAACTAAAGATTACATTTTCAAATTTTATGAAGATTATGTTTTATCAACCTGTATGTACTGTAGTAAGTAGGATAGCACCAGGGCATTGCAAGGATTGACGGCTCCCATATTTATGTCGTAATATATACTAAAATATACAGTGTTAGGGAGTAACTTTTAAAAGTATTGCATTACAATATTGCACTACTTTCTAAAAAAAAGTAACTAACTAACGTTACTTGTTCTCACCTGGGCTGGGCTTGCTTGTTTGTTTTTTAATAACAACAAAAAAAAGCTCAATTTTTTGCAAGTGTAAAGGCCTTTTCACACCAAACGAGAAATGAATACGCCTAATGCAGAAGGAAAGCAAATTCACGTCTGAACAGTAGAGGTCAATATATGAGAAAACAAAATAACTTGCGTTATTTATTTGAAAAAGTAACTCAGATATTTTGTTGTAAATTTAAAAGTAATGGATTATTTTGCTCGTTATACTTTAATCTGAAAAGTAATCTGATTACGTAACTCAAGTTACTTGTAATGAGTTACTTGTAACCCCAGGTAAACTTCACCCCTGCCACAAACAGACATATGCAATATGTGACGACCACGTGCACACGCCACACTGAAAACAAGCCAAACTGGAGACGACGCCACACCACATATTCCCAGAGACAATACTCATATCACTGCTGTGTGAAAAAGCTTTGGCATTGGGGTAAGGAATTCCTGCTTTTCTGTTTTGTCTAACCATCACTAGTTTCTCACAAAATATAGTGCAACAGCACAAATGGCAATGGAAGGTAAGACGTTTTTAAACCAATAAATACTATCCATCTTAAGTCAGCTATTTTCAGGACTTCTGAGACTTTAGCTGCTATTGGTAAATAACTAGAAAAATAAGAAAGTGCAGTGATCGTTGTATACTGTATAATTATGATACATTAAAATAATATGGTAAGAAATGCAGTATTATGAAGCATAACAACACATGAAATAACTGAAGCAGATGACAACATTCATTGCTTAAAAATAAGGCTGAAAAATAAGGTGATTTTTATTTCTTGCAAATGTGACTTTATAGAAATGTTTTATGCAAAATAAAATTATTTTGATTCTTGCAAATGTGACTTCATAATTGTGATTTAATAGAAATGCTTCATGCAAAATAAAATAATTTTTATTTCACTCAGAAATTGCAAGTAAATTTCACAAATAATAAACAAAAATGGCAAGCAGCACAATAAATTAAACATCAAATGTTGAAGTAGAAAGACTGAAATTGTATTTTCTTGACAAATGTACTCCAATAATCTCCATTTTTCCATATTTACAACTGTGCCTATTCTTTTTTATTTCTTTATTTTTTATTTTGCTTTGCTCTGCTTTGCATGTATGGGTAGCTGACACGCGAGTGTTTTAAATGTGAGCAGCTTGTTGACTGTAATTTTCACAGCAGATCTCAGCTGGAGGTTTTGTAGCACGCATGAAGAGTTCAGTCCGTCAGCTTTAGTGCGAATAAGCTCAGTTTATTTGTATAGCACTTATACAACAGCTACAACTGCCTCTTCACACAAAACAATCAATTAATCACCCATAAAAGAAGTGTTATTTTACAGCCAAAGCAGATTGTTTACTAATTTATATTGGTAGCAAACAAAATTATGTATTCCTACATATTGGTCATTAACCAAGGTGTATGTGTCCACTGACTCCTCAAACAGTGAAAGGGAATGTGCTTCGACTGTGGCTGGTGCGAGGGATTAGACTCTATGAGGAGAGATAATCCTATTAGCGAAGGGTCTCATTGTAGGGAGAGAGACACGCGGTAAATATTATGGATGTATATGTGCTGTACATGATCCTGGCGGTGTGTTTGTACTGTTCACACTGTCGGGATCACAAGGTCGCTGAAGGTGAAGCACATGTATGGATCTGTGGAAGCTCAGGAATGTGTGTAATCTTTTCAGGACCCGAGGGGTCCCACTGTCCTGGCCTCTGAAGACCAGTCAAGACTGATAAATCCTGCCAACACGTGTGTCGATGCAGCCAACAACGGCCTTGGATTGAGAGATCCACAGTGCCCTTGGAAAGGCTGTGTTGTCTGTGCTACTAAAATACTGGCTGGAGAAAGAAAGAAAGAAACAGAGAGAGAGAGAGAGAGAGAGAGAGAGAGAGAGAGAGAGAGAGAGAGAGAGAGAGAGAGATGATATGCAGATTTTAAACTCACCATAAATTACAGTTCTCTTTGTATGTTGCTCCTGAGTGAAACCTTTGGCCATTCCTTTCACAAGAGCCTGAAATCAACAAACAACCATGATTATGAATCAATCTGCAGGTAATAAGAGGAAGAAGAGTGGATGACTACAACACACATACTATGTACATAGTATGTACTACATACTAAACATTTGGATTAAAAGTTCTTTCTTTCATTTATGTCTGATGGACTTTGGAGCGCGCAGAGGAATGTTTCCTTGGCTTTCCCAGAGACTCTGCTGTCGTCATGCCTTGACCAGTTTAATCAGAGGTTTCCACATTGCCTGTCTGGAAGTGGGCAGGCCATCTTTCCTCTCCTCCTAATACACCACGTACAATTACAAATGTAGTTGTAAAATGTATACACTTAAGAGGAGTGTATTCATATGCCGGACGGCTATATCCAACGATCACCTTTTGACACAGACACGCGCATACAATCTCAGTGTCAGTAAAACTCATGTAGAAGCAAAGCTTTAACCAAGTCTTGTGTTGGCGGGGGTCTTTTATTTAAAAGAATTAACTGATTAAAGGATTTAAAGGAATAAAGAAAAGGGAATAAGAATGGTAAAATAATTTCTAGAACTAGGCCTAATTGTAGTTGTGAATTAGCCCTAATCAATGAAACTATTTGCACTTTTTTTTTTATAATGCATACATTCACTCTTATTTGTGTGTCTTATATGTTGAAAACGCAAAACGTTTCTTGTCTCGTCACATTAAAGTCGGCATGAAATCAAATTTGACAAATCTTCTTTTTATATGTAATATTGTAGTGTTTATTATAAATGATTTATCTGTGCACTTCATTGTTTTTTTTTAATTCATGTACCCTTACAATCTTTAATAAAATACATTACCCTTCCCTCCCCCCTCGAAACGACCTCTCTTCTCTTTCGGTCACGTGCAATGGCGAAAGGGTGCGGCCAGAGCCGATGAGGGTGCGGCTATCGGTGCACCGCCTCTCAGAGAAGATACATTCAAATCTGCCTCCATTTGGTTTGCAACGCCCGACCTCCAACGATCCAATCAATTCCCGAAGGACGAAATCAAGCCCCGCCCTAATTTTTTTCTAATTTCAGAAGCCGTTTCACTCGGATATACGTCACAACAAGGAAAAAAGGACAATCTCAACTTCCGTTTCATGCCGACCTTAAGTTATAAATGACATGAATCAAGAAAATGACAGAATATTTTCAATTCAAAACGGCGAGATTTGATAAAAAGTTGAGGAGTTTGCATCACTGGATATTAGTCAGTCATTTAACATTTCTGTTGTGAAAGTGTTGTCAGATAAACATTTAGCCAAAGCCACTCGAAGGAAAGCCTGCGAGCCTAGCAAAAACATAACCGCAACGTCAGCTAACACTGCGATACGCAGAGAATGAAACCAGAGGCTGTATTTTTAATGGATGTCAATGAAGGCTTCACTACGCTGAAAAAAAAACCTTTAACATGTTTGCTCTAAAACATTCGTTTTGGATTGACCTGGACCTTGGATTGACCAAGTCACAGACAACGTTACACTTTCTCCAATGATATAGCCACAGATGCTCGTATCTCCCAATAATAAGACCATCTCTGGTTTAGCTACTCACATCTTACCACACACACTTCCATCTTTAATACGCTTTAATACACTTGTCCCTCTCAATGTCTATAGTGGTTACAACCTCTTGAAGTGAAGTGTGTGATTTCTGCACCATTAGCAGCACCAAAATAGAGTTAAATAACAACACTGGCTCAAACATGTCAAAGTCATTCCCACGTTGTAGGTAAATCATGGCCACGTTGAACGAATTCGTCCCTTTGATTTAGTTAAATCGTTGTCTGGGAACAAATGAATAAGCCATATGAACAAATTCTTAATTCATGTGTCCACAATAGCTAATAAATAGTTAATAAAACATGGTCACAATTGATCTGGAAACACAGGCAGAGAATTCATAAATCGTGGCCGTGAATTCATAACTCATAAATAAAAAATTTTTTAGAAGGTCCTCACAAAAGTGTGATACGTGACATTTCCTGTTTGCTTCCTTTAACAGCAAAGTTCAGGAAGACACTAGGGAAGAGTTTGGGACTGTGTGTTCTTGTAGCATGTTTATGCATGTTCTTCTTATTAATTTTACAATTCTGTAGTCCACACACAATTTACTATAAAAAATTACTAACAAAAATCACTTGCGTTTATTTGGTTTATTTTTTGTTCATCTGTAAAAGTTTTTAAATGTTTCAAGTTTAAAAGATTTAAAAGGTTACGCTTTAGCCTGAAGTTCTTCAAAGAATAGGAAGCATGAACTATCGGATGTTATTTTAACTAAATGAAAGTGGCTTTCCAGAGAAAACATTTACTGAGATTTAGCAACAGTCTCAGTCTGAGTAATGCTGAGCTGTGATCCGTGAAGTCATACCTGCCCTATAGACATGACCGTCGCTCCTTTGGCAAACACACATACCTGTTGTGATCCCACCCTTCCCTCCTCGTACATTACAGGCATTCTTTCTGCCGACCTCCATTCACTGCTCCCTGCCTTCCGCTCCCCATTTCATGGGAATGCCACTGTTCTCTTCCCATCATTAGGTTCATGACTGAATATTTAACACCTGACCCACAGTGAGGACCATGAAGCAAGAACGGCAGGAAAACATTAACAGGGAAGAATGTGGACTTGGTTTTCCATCATGTTTCTAGAAAACAACTAACCTTTTCTTAACGGCGTAGACTTCACACATTGGCTGGGGGCCCAAAAAATTTCTCTTTGCATACCGATGGATTTGATTTGGCTTCTCATTTTGATCAACATGACTAAGCCAACTACATATCCTTTCTATAGGAGAACATGATTGTATGTCTTTTGTCAAGGACTTTTAAGGGATAGTTCACTTAAAAATTGTCATTGTTGCTTCTGACTGATTGTCTAAAAATCTGAAACACCAAAAAATTGTCACAAGTAGTCTGTGTGACTCACACACCATATTTCAAATCTTCAGGATACGATATGATAGCTTTGTTTGAGGAACATACAAAAATTTAAGTTGTTATTGCCTGGAAATCTTGACATTGGCTCTAGATATGCTCATGAGAGAAGCAGCATGAACATGATGAACAAATCATTCTTTCGAGTCAAAACTCTTCAATGAATCAATTCATCTAGTTCACAGAAGTGGTGTGATGTTTTGCTCATGAATTCGATTTGTCTGGCTCTCAAGTTCTACCAAAATCGCTTTCAAAGAAAGTCAATTTACTCAGAAGGCCATAGCCTATTTGTAACGTCTCTGGGCAGTCTGTCTGAATGGGTACGGTTCCAGCGGAAGAGTGACTTATGACCCGAAACTCCACTTGTGTACGGCCATTACCGGAAGCCAGTGATTATAGTTTAAGTTATGAATATGGATATTTTTCTTACAAAAACGCTGTGTTTTGCTTCAGAAGGCCTTTATTAAAACCCTGGACCCATATGGATTATTTTTATGATGGATGGATGTGCTTTTTTGCATATAAAATCTCAGGTACTATTCACTCCTACTATAAAGCTTGGAAGAGCCAGGATATTATTTAATATAACTTTGATTGTGTTTGGCTGAAAGAAGAAAGTCATATACACGCTTGAGGGTGAGTAATTTATGGGATAATAAAAATTTTCGTGTGAACTAACCCTTTGAATTTTTAAATTTAATTAGGGGATGTTTTTTTTTTACATTGATACTATAATAATATAATAAGTTGTGATTAGAAATATGACAAAGACTTTGCTACTATTGGGATCTTCCCGAAGCCTAGATCCGAATTCGGAAAGGCAGAGAAAAGGAATAACGCATTCTAGAGAGCACCTAAAGGGACACGGTTAGGCTTGCTGTGCTAGCCGTTTACATTACAGTAGATTACATCAGATTTCACTTATCACTTGAAGATACGGAGGGATGACTGCGAGATAGGGAAGATAAGCAGGGATGACTGACAGGACGATGTCGCTGCTCCCTATACAGAGTATGCGTGATCACGAATTGGAAAGTGAAAGTAAAAAGTGAATGTGCATTTCAAACAGTAGCACCTCATTGCAGTACACGAGATCCAGGGGGCGGACTTGGATCCAGATCTAAGGGGTGGAGATGGGTAGGATTAGGGGTGGAGTTAGGGATCAGGGGGCGGAGATGGGTAGGATTAGGGGTGGGGTTAGGGATCAGGGGGTGGAGATGGGTAGGATTAGGGGTGGGGTTAGGGATAAGGGGGCGGAGATGGGTAGGATTAGGGGTGGGATTAGGGATCAGGGGGCGGAGATGGGTAGGATTAGGGGTGGGGTTAGGGATCAGGGGGTGGAGATGGGTAGGATTAGGGGTGGGGTTAGGGATAAGGGGGCGGAGATGGGTAGGATTAGGGGTGGGGTTAGGGATCAGGGGCGGAGATGGGTAGGATTAGGGGTGGGGTTAGGGATCAGGGGGCGGAGATGGGTAGGATTAGGGGTGGGGTTAGGGATCAGGGGGCGGAGATGGGTAGGATTAGGGGTGGGGTTAGGGATCAGGGGGCGGAGATGGGTAGGATTAGGTAGGGGTGGGCGATATCTCGATATTTAAAATATATCGAGATATTTTTTAAACACGATATGGATTTTGACATATCGTAAATATCGATATATTGTTTATATTTAATCCTGATTTCGCCACTTTGCTTGTTTGCCTTCTCTGTGCTCGCCCCCGCCTCCTTGCTTTTGTTCCCCCTCACCTCGCGTGTTGTCTCATTCAACAATTGTCTCAATGGCGTATGTATGACACGCCAATTCGTATTTCCATTTTTGGCGTGCTATCAACACGCATAATCGCTTTTCAGCGTGTTTATCAACGCCTTTGACTTAACGTTATATTACTGTATTATGTATATAAATATATGACCTACCCCAACCCCGTCCCTAAACCTACCCGTCACTGGGGTTAATACCATTTATGAGTCTTCTCCTACCATCCTAGGAAAAGAAATATCGCTCCACAGATGTAGATATAGATTTTGCTTCGTTTCGCTCGGACATTTAACGGCGTACGCAAACACGCGGAATCACTCGGACATTTAATGGCGTAGACATACACGCAAAAGATTTCGGCGTGGACATACACGCGGATAGCTCAAAATGCGTATAGATAACACGCCACTTGAATTGAAAGTGGCGTGTATGTTTACGCAAAGTCATGATGTCATGTTGCATCCGCAACCAGCCCGGAGGCTACAGAACTCCGAGTGTGTCTGCGCGCGAGCGACAGAGCACGAGAGAAACCGAGTGTGAGCATTAATTGCATTAGTAAATTGGTAGCCTACATACTACAATATATAATTACTAAATAAGAGGCATGGAAGTTCGATTAATGGACTCCAGTAATCAGTAATACTACAAACGTCTTGTTTTAAACTATTGCAGGGCTCGAATTTCGGCACGAGTATTGCGCATAATTCTAATCATTCCCGCAGGTCTCCCATTTATAATGCGGGAAATTCCCGCAATCGTAATCCACACAGATTATAAAATCAAATCATTCTTTTAACAACTATCTGCCAGACGCAATTTCACAAACAGCGTGAGTGTTCAGCGGTGCCGCTTCTTTCTCGTCTCTCATAATGTGTTGTGCAAGGCAAGCATCAAGAGCTGCGGCGATAAAACACACTCGCGTTTAGGAGTCGGGACATGATGGATATTCACTCGCACAATCGGGCCAGCAGTGCATCGTGACTGAAGTTTACCATTTGCACGTCTTTTTAAGTCTTACCAGTTTAAACATTCAACCGATTTTAAACTAATCAGTGCTCGCGCGCTCTCTGAGATTATTTTCTATGCGCACATTCATAGAAAATCCGCCTTAAGAACAGCTGGCCAGTAACAAAAGTTATTTTTCGCGGATTATATTGCTTTAACACACAAAATTGTCAATTTCGGTCGTCGTGAGTATACTCTAAACATAGTCGGTTTTGTCTTTAATAAGCATAAAACGCATGCCAGTATAATGAACACAGGATCCGTGCACTACCTCTTAAAGTGACGGCAGCCATATGTGTCATTCATTTTGTTGTCAATACAACAAAAGATAGCTTTAAGTTAAAGGAATCAGGATTAATAACCTGTATTTAATTTATTCAGGACTAAAATACTACTCAGTGTTATTTTCCATTTGATTACTTTATTCAGTTTCTGTATATGAATCACGTGATTAATAATGATGACGAAATTCAGGCCCTGTGTTTAATTTTTCTCATTTGGTTACATTCTGTTATGGAAAATTAATTTTCTATTGATTGTAGGCCTATATTTTGAGTTGTATTCACATCCATTTTCCTGTAAAGATATCGAGATATATATCGAATATCGAGATATAGCGAAATATATCGAGATATATTTTTTGCTCCATATCGCCCAGCCCTAGGATTAGGTATATGTAAGGTGGGAGGAGTTGGATCTGGATACAACTCCTCCCCCTGGATTTCGTGTTCTGCAGTGAGGACCATCTCATTTCAAAAGCGATTTCAATACCCCGCATATTGATAACGGCTCCCTGATGATATAATTACCCAACTATAATTATAAGAGAATGCAAAAAGCATTGTCCCTTTAGGGGCTCCGTAGTATATTCGGCTTTGGGCACATCCCTAGCTCCAACCATGGGAGTAGTAACTGCTATGGGAGAATACTATACTGGAAGCTATACATAGGCGTAAGCAGTCGATATGCATATTTCTTTTTGAAGTTTGAAAAAGTCTCGGTCTTTGTTGCATGGAAAAGAACAAACAGCACAGTCTTCAGAATGTATGTTCTCACTCAGCTTACTGGGAGGGTATGGAGGATTTGTTCCCAGGCAGTGGCTCCAGAAGTCAGGACAACAGTCGGACACGGTGCGGTTGCAGAACAGGTCGCAGTAACAGATGGTGTCCAGGTACGGGACAGTGCACTGGTCGTTTCGGCCGGGGCAGCAGCCTCCTCTCCTCTGGCAGTAGGAACCGAAGGGGTCCCGGATCCCCCTGAGGTGCAGCGGGCCGGCCAGTTCTCTCTTAGAGCGGGAGAAAGTCCTCGCTGGCATTCCCTCTTCTGACAGCAGGAGGAGCGCTGCAACAGCGGCCAGCATCAAGAGCTTCAACATTGCTTATCTGCTATAAAGAAATCAATAGAGCAAAACATCAGCCATTAGGGTCAACTTGCAAATCAAAATTGAATTCAAAGCAACATTATGCTCCATCATGCTGCAAAAAAACCAAACAGCAACGATGTAGATATGATTAGAGCAGAAATAACATTTGAGTGAAAACAGAAATGACAGATCCTGGAAACAGAGCTTTGATGGAGTGTTAGGCAAGGCAATGCGATTCCTAACGGCGATCATTTGTTTTCTACTTTCCTGAAACACACTGAACTCGAGGCCATGAGCCAACAATCTGCAATATAAACAACACTGATAAACAGACGTTCCTCTTGTTCTTATTTTAATAATGCACTCATCCTGCAAACACAATAACAGCACAGCAGTAGGTGAGCACAGACAGAAGTTGAGAAACTATTTTCCACTTTTGTCCATGACTTGAAGCTTCAATTGAAACTTCTACTTGAGTTTCTGTGGGATGATCCATATGTTGAGGTGTGTAGGAAGGGTGCGGTCATGTGACTCAGGCCTCAAGTTACTGTAGACGTCCATCAGTCTTTATTTACTTGCTAAATTGTCCAGAAAAGACTCACAGCAGTGACTACTGCAATGTAAATATTGTCTTACGCTAAACTCATCCTTTCCATGCAGAGCACACAGGTCATTGCCCACTAACTGCATTGTCTATATATTGGATCTCACTTGAGACATTTTGTCACGTTTATAATATTTGAGCTATCCGTGAACAGATATTTGCAGCACAGTTATCATGTCAACATACTTGGCACCACCACGGATCACATACTGAGCAGTACAGAACAAAAAAATGTCTGTGGAAACCAAATATTAACCAAAACATTACATAATCCACTTGGAGTGTTTACATTTAAACAGAAATCTAGAAATGTGCTTCATATTTGATTCAACATGTTCTAAAGCTGGATGTAATTGCTTATTTATTGTGGCAGAATAATTTATATTTTGTGTTCATGATGCTAATCCGTTAAGTTACCTGCTTCTCTTTGAAATTATTTTGGAGAAATGAGGATTAAACTATAAAAGGCCGATGGAAGCTATAACTTTTCCCTTTTAAGTTGTGCTTGTATGAATGTCACTTTAAAGACGAGTTCAACAGTTTTAAAAGGAAAATGGACCCATTTATCTTCATAGGGCAAGAAAGGACACAGTAGCTGACATGGTGGAAAAATGTTACTATCAAACTAATGGAGTCAAAACTTATCATTGTTACGGAAACAGCAGCTTCCTGTAGTCAAAACCAAGGCAGTCACAAAAACAGGGTAAGGCTGTCTTTTTAAGGCTGTCCTTTTTAAAATATTTTAATAAAATAGCATTTTGATGTTTATTTATACACAAAATGGGCCTCATGAGGAATTTGCCGATAGATAGATAGATAGATAGATAGATAGATAGATAGATAGATAGATAGATAGATAGATAGATAGATAGATAGATAGATAGATAAATTAATGAGACAGAGAAGGCCACCCCAAAAATGACCTTTAAAAAAGGCTATTTAACTCTAAAGCCATTTGTTATGTTTTTGAATGAAGTCTCTTCTGCTCACCAAGACTGCAATCATTTGATTCAAAACACAGAAAAAAGGTAATATTGTGAAATATTATTACAAATTTAAATAACTGTTTTCTATATTCAAATAAAATGTATTCCTGTAATGGCAAAGCTGATATTTTACCATCATTACTCCAGTCTTCAGTGTGACATGAACCTTCAGAAATTATTTTAATATGATTATTTGCAACTCAATTATTATTGGTGCATAATTATTAATAATGGTTCTTATTACTGTCAACGCAGTTTTTGCTGGTTAATTTTTGTAAAAAAAAAAAAAATTCAGGATTCTTTGATGAAGAAAAGTTCAATGAACAGCATTTATTTGAATTTATTTTGTAATATTATAAATTTGACTTATTAGAATGATTTCTGAAGGATCATACCACTGGAGACTGGAGTAATGATGCTGAAAATTCAGCTTTGATCACAGGAATACATTAGATTTTTTCCCATTTATTAATATAGAAAAGTTATTTAAAATTGTAAAAAAAATATTTCACAATATTTCTGTTTTTACTGTATTTTTAATCAAATTAATCCAGCCTTGGTGAGCATAAGAGACTTCATTCACAAACATAATAAATGGCTGTAGAGTTAAATAGCTCCTCACTTTCACTGATCCTCCTCCCGGAGAACAATATCTTGAGATCACACATAATTGCGCTCAAGCTGCCATTGTGGTCTCGGGTTAAAAAGAGGAGAGCCTTGACAAAGACGAGGAGGCGGCGAGCAAATTACAGAAAAATCATCATTAATTACCCAATCATCCCACAGGGCACAATGTCCCCCATAGACAAAGAACAGCCCCGGAAACAAAGTCCACTGCTGTGCAGTTTTCTGCATGACTGTGCCTTTAGTGGACCAGAGCCTCAACACTGAAGCATATGGCAGCAGTGTCGCAGGGGCATTTCTAAGACACTCTCATTGAGTGCAAGAAATGTTTGACCCCGCTGTCATGGCGATCAGTCCAGTAAACATCAGTAATGATGCATGCATCTACAGTGATGTGGATATTTCAGCTTTCGAAAGCTGGCTGATGCTCGCCTGTTTCCTCCCAACAGGAGTGTAGCATGTAGAGACGTGTTGACTTTACATCACTAAGAGCCCGTAGGACGATCTGATGTGCAGCAGAGCAGACAGAAAACACTGCTAGAGTCTGCTGTCTGACAAATGACTTACATCAGTGCTTTTGATCACACTATTCAACCAATGAGCTGATAAACGCTGTATTATAGTCATATCTCCAACCTCACATGCATGTACAGGTGGTTCAACACAACAAACAGAGCAAACTTTAAACTAGCCTACAAATACAGCCATTATTACCTCTCAGTCTCTTCTGCTGGATCTTCACATTATTAGGTTTACCTTTGAAAAATTAAAGCTTGACTAACAAATATTAAGCTCCATTTATAGTTTATATTTAAAGTTTATAGCATTGTGATTGTAGAATGACACGTCGTGGACTTTGAGAGCAGGTCAAGAAGCTTTCACAGCAGGATTAAATAACAGACAGATAGCAGACGGAGGAGAGCTTCTAGAGGTTTCCATGCATAGGCTATCAGATATGACACAGGTTCATGAGCTGTCAGAGGGCCAGTTTACACCTGGTCATTTTCATGTGTTTTTACAGATCCGATAGATAGATATCTGATTTATCAAAACGATTCAATTTACGGATATAAATCCGATCTTCAATTCCCGCGCTATATATGCAGATTTAATGGAGTCACGTCACCGAAAGCATGATCATACGCTAACTTCAATATCAAAGACCGCAATATAGGAGAGAGCGGCAACAGCACTGGTAGGAACATTTCGTTTCTTTACTTTTAATTAAGTTGTTCGTGTGTTAAGCGTTTGCGACTTTCATTTTGATTTGCGATAGTTTGCATGTTCGGCGATGCGTGTTGCATAGCGCCGGTGTTCTGACGATTCATGCTACCTACCCATCGAGATTGGCTACTTACTGGTTATGCGCATGTGCAGACTCAGTTTTTTTTTTTAACAAAAGGTAAATTTTCATGTGTTATAATATAATTTCCCTTTAAAAAAATGCTAACTACCATATGAACATTTGTACGGTCAGCCAGCTGAACAAGAATAACTGAAAGTTTCAGTTACTAAGGAAAGGTGTGCTTTGACAAGTCAAAGATGAATATTTGATGATAATTTTTACTTTTCACACCGTTTTAAAAATAAAAACAGTAGTCTACAGTATACAGTAGACCCACGTCTGATTTACATGTATTGTACTGAATACAGACACTGGTACGCTTTATTTTGATGGTCCACTTTACTAATTATAAGTAACTTTACAACTACATATCAACTTATTCTACTAAACCGTACAGTCTACTAATACTTAGGTGACGTAGTTGCAAAGTTACTTATAGCTAGTAGAATGTCTAAAGTGAACCATCGAAATAAAGTGTTAGCATTATATGAAAAAATATATGGTTTTGTACATCAAAAATTATTCTTTTATGGCTTTGCAATGTTAGGATCACAATAAAGTATAAAGTAAACACATTAATATGCTAGGCTACAAACACTAAAGAAAACTTTTTTTATAATTATAGGCTAGGCTTTCAATGCAACACTTAATTGGCTTGAAAAAGGTTAAAGACTGATGTAGAATATTCTAGATTCAATAGCAGTAGAAGTAAAATGAGTAAAAATGCTTTTAATTTCATAACTTTAACTACTTTTACTTTATGAAACGACATCACTGGAACACGTAAAGAGAATAATGAGTGCTGTATAGAGCCGTACTGTAATCGTACTGTAACTACGCACCTGTCTGACACATTAGAAAGGGAGGGAGGAGGTTACACAGAAAAGCACAGGATTTAAATAGCCGGAGAAACAAAAAATCCCCCACCTTGTTTAGTGAAATAAAATCCTTCTTCTGGTTATATCCAGTGAACAAAATGTGAGCAGGTCTGTTTCAGCTACAGGTTAAAGTAGTGAACAGTCGCACACACACTCTCTTCAGCCTCCTGTCTGGCCTCTATTCACTCTCTATATAGAGGCAGGACAAGCCCTCCGACCCACCCCTCCTGCTTTCCCCTCCTTCTTTTACTTTCTGTCCCTCTTTCTCCCTCCCACACACCCAGACACAACACACACACACACACACACACACACACACTGAGCTACTTCAGGTTAAACCCCTTTCCTGGAGGTTTTTGAGTGCTTGTGTCACTTATCTTTCCATGTCACACTTTTCCTGATGGTTAATTCATCACAGATCATTGTTTTATTCATCTAACACCATACAACCTCTCTTTCTTTATTTCTGTATACACAAAGGTCATTCATCTCTGAGGTACTTATTTCCCTCACCACCTGCTGGCCAGTCGGACAACTACATTTACAATTCAAGCAACTAATTGATGGATTATACCTCAAATAAAGTTTTCAGGAGTAAAAAATAAATAAAATAAAAATAAAAACGTGGGGAAAAACCTCCATAAAATATTAACATTGCTCAGAACTGGGGGAATTTCTGTGTTTATAATACTCAATATCAGGAGTTGTGAGGCACATATACATGCTGATATCTCCTGGCAACTGATCTTGATTACACAATTTGACACTCATTTCTGCAAATGTTGCAATTCACTTTACAACACGAGCTGACATGCCCTTTACAGCTTTGACAAGAGGATACATTAGTACATGGCCTCGCTGGTCCAGCAATAATCAGCTGAAAACTTTTGTTTCCTGTATAGTGTTCTTGCAATGTGTTTATCAGAAGTGTCTTTCCAAAATTAGACATAAAATTAATATACAGGAGAAGCCAAAAGTGATGTCTGGAGGGGATATTTCTTTTAATGACCCTACAAGTTTGATGAAACCATCAAAATACTGTATAAGGAAAATATGTTATATTTTTTAAATATAGAACAAACCACTAAACTTGGTTAAGGTATTTACCTGACCAAATAATATTGCAAATAAAAGCAAAAATTAAGCATTGACTACAGCATAATCAGTTATTAATATTTCGTTGGTTCTCTCTTGTTTTTACATGTGTTTATAATTTATCTGATAGCCCGGCCAAAAATTATATCTGCACTATTTGGCATGTTTCATTGCTTTATCACAACAACAACAACAACAAAAAACACTATAATAATGAACATGTTAGATAAACTATAACATAAGAATGAACCTTGCTTAGAACATAACTTGTTTTAAACACATCAAACATCAGTACCTCAAATCCACAACACCCCGCCCCACAAAAATGATGTCTTTGTCATGTCCCACCTCAGAAGTCGTGGCCTTTTTGACTGAACTGAACAATACAATCTCATACTTTCGATGATCTATTGAACTGACGGTCAACTCATTTTGAAATATAACTCAATTTAATTTTGAAAAAAAGTTGCACATTGTGCATGCAAGATTGTTACTGAAAAATTTCTCCCCACTTTTAATTACATTTTTTTATTAGTGTAAGGCTTATTCAATTTGTGCTACCCCTAAAACAAAATATTTATTTTCAAAACTAAATATGGTTATATAAATATAGTTTTAAAATAGGTGGTCATATAGGGTTGACATACATATATGGTTTTATATGTATATGTATATTCAGTATAATGTTTAAGATGAAACTGAAAATCAAACAGCTCAAATAAAGTTAGTTTGACCTTTTGAGAATGACAAACAACATCAGCACCCTCTTTCACTGACTATTGGCAAACAAACAAACATATTAATAGAAGTTTAAACACCACATTAACAAAAGATTAAAAGAAAAACTTCACAAATTTGAATGCACATTACTCTTGTGACTACTTGCATTGACCTAAACTGGGGGTATTGTTTGACTTGTTCATGTGAGTCATATACAGTAACCTCCTACATATTTCTGTAAAGCTGATTGAGTGAATGAGTCAGTTTGGGAGCCCACCACATATTTACGTTTAGCCACAGATGTGAGCAAAGAAGCATGTGTCCGCCTGTGGCGAGATAACCCTGAGGGTCACTACTGGCACCCTTTCATTAGCCTTTGCTATGAGTGACATGGATGTGTGATTCAGAGATCATGCATGATGATTCACATAATACACATGACAAGTGTGTGTGGGTATGCAAGACCTGTGTGTCGGTTTTCCATCAAGACTGAAAAATCAGTTCCCAAAAACTGTGCTGATAGTGCACGTGTCAAAGAAAGTTGGTGAAGTGTCTGACATGTGGCCCATCGTAAAGTCATTCTGGGACAATATGTCTCCTTCAGAAGAAGAAACCCACATTAGACCCTCAGAACAGATGCGATGTGTCAGCATGACAACAGGCTCTCAATACTCCCCTTTAACAACTGCTCGTGTGTGTGTGTGTGTGTGTGTGTGTGTGTGTTTGTTGGCATGTGCAAGTGTTCGGTAGCCTATGAGCCGTAGATGAGTCAGAAATGACAGAAGCTCATGACACGGTTTCAACTAACTCGAACTCGGATGCTTATCAAATGGGCAAATTGTCCTGAAACTTTCTCATGGAAATATCCAAAGGAATTTGGCTTTATTTCATGTGTCCCTATAAATACTGTACCCATAATGTTCTAGATTTAAATAGAAAAGAAAATAACACAATATGCTGTTTGTTATCGGTGCCTGATCTTCAAAATAATACTTTCTCCTATCCCAGCTCAATGTAAGCCATCTTATAAGTAGGGTGAACGTGAGACATGTTCCAGGATCAACATCAACAACATTCCAATCAACCGCTCAGGGGTGCGTTTCCCGAAAGCATCGTTAGCCAACTATGGTCGCAAGTTCCGTCGTTATCAGCAGTTCAATGAGTCGATGTTTCCCGAAACCATCGTTCCAACGAACATTCGCAAACAGCATCGCAAAGTTGTGTGTTTGGAACGACAGCTCTAGAGCTGTGGTGAGAAGCAGAGTTTCTAGATTACATGACATGTGGACTTAATAAATCCTTATCTTGAGCAAAATAAGCAAGCTGACATTCAGGGTGTCTTTTGTTTAGAATACATACAAATGTCATTTACGTCTTTGGGTTTGTCAAGAGATTTAAAGCAGCGTTTTTGAAGAGTGCACATGTGCGAACGTGCTGTAAGAACGAGCCTATGATTGAATCTGGAAATAAAGTGAAATAACTGAGAAAAATGAGAAATATTCCTCAGATGCCATGTCTGTAATTTATATCAAAACATCTAGCATTAATTCGATCTCAAACAGTTTCATTAAAATAAGTGATTACGCCACCATAGAAAATATATACACTAGATGTCGCCTTGGCTACGGCAGTTCATTAGAACAAATGCGTCAATAGAGCCGCCATCTTGGAACAGGGGAGCCCCTCCACTTTAATGCATCACCGTCAATGTAGACAAAGGTCTAACGGAAATAAAATCACCATAAATCATCATGAATGTGATTTTCTCATTTTTTTTGGTTCGTTCCCACGGTCAGACATGTATTTATCATTGATTCCAGAAAAAAAAAAAAAAATTTTTTTTTTAAAAACATTCTTCCTAGTTCAGATTTCATTCGTGTGAACATCATACACAGCACAAAAGTCCGCCACCATCAATTAATTAGAAGCAAAGGCAGAGATAGCAGCGTTACCTAGCTACTTCCTATGACAAGACCCCTGTTCAAAGATGGCGGCGGTTTTGACGCATGCTTAGAACCCCAAGGTGACGTCTAGTGTATATGTCTATGATTACTCCACCACGTGACATGCGTGACGTCATAAACCAACGTGGTTGAACGACCACATTCCGACAATATGGTTTCGGGAAACAGTCGTGACTAGCTAGTTGATTTCTTCAACGATGCATCATACTATGGTAGTTAAGTAGCGAGTTACGTTGTTGTACGGGAAACGCACCCCAAATTGAAGGGACAAGTTTATGTCAAGTTTAGGCTTACAACCAGGGTTAGGTGCTTCTACAGCTGTGTTATTCACCTAGGATTTCCCTCTGGTTTTAGGGATAAGTTATGGTTGGGTTAGGTTTAGGGGTAGGGACAGGGGTAGGACTAAATTTTCGGACAGGACTGTTGTTCCAGGATCAACAAAATATGTTGATCCAGGAATCCGTCTTACTTGCCAAAATCACTGTGACCTATATGTACACAGTTTTTTGGTTGTTTTCCTATGAAAGACTAAGGCTCTGGGTCGCTATCAAATCATTTCTCTCTTTGTTAGTCGATTAATCCAACATAACAACATTGACTCAACCAATAATGTGAGTTTGGGGACAAGAGTATCCATTTGCCTGACCACTTATGGGAGTTTTTAGGGAAACCTGTTTGAAAACAGTCATTACTACAATCCCTAATGGCACAGACTTCCCCTTTAACTATGACAAAATCACCAGAATATGCATTAGCCGAGGTTCTGCTATCACAGCTATGCTAACAACTTAATAAAAAAGCTAAACAGCACAAAGTGCACACCTATCTCAGAGCGTCCTTTGTTCGGAAAGACATACTATTTGTGGCTTACTCATGATGTGTGGCTTTTATTACTTCAGAGTCACGACTAAGATAAGAGATTACGTATGACTCTCAGTTTCTATTTACCTTACTACTATTCTGGGTTTTGACATTTACAGCTGCTTCCTGAACACCCAGTCTAAAGACTTTCTGTTCCAAAATTAAACTAAAAGTCTGGTTTTAACATTCAAGGATTTTATAAAACTCCCCGGAAAAAAAAGACCCCTTGCCCAAAAAACAAACATACAAAATACTTTAGAGATGCTGCTGGAATTATATCACAATTTGGAACCAATCCTAATGGATCATACAAACGAGTCCTTTTAGAATTAAATAAGATCAGACTTAAATTAAGTGAATGAACAAATGCTATTGATTATAATCTTTTTTGGTGATTGTTTGATTCTTAAATGGTTCCATGTTCCTTTTGGATACTTTGTGGACAATGTGAATTTGAGTTTGAACTCCACAATTGAGAATTTCATGATTCCGGCTTGATTGAGAAATCTTTTTATTAAAGAGCTGACAACGTGCAAAAGATTTACA